TTTCAGCTGAGCTTTTCTTTATTGCTAGGATAGTCCAAAGCGATTGGTTGACCCAACTTCATTTCCATTACACAGACTAGTATAGCGGTGGTTTCCTAAGGCTGGGACAAAAGGCCTGACACCCACACTTAAGGACAGATTTACTGGGGTCACAGTTTCAGAGATTTCAATCTGAGGCTGCTGGCTCCAGGCAGGATGGGCACAGAGGAAGGGAGTGTCAGAGCACAGCAGCTGACTTCTCTGTGGCTTCTGGAGGAGCTGAGGGAGATGGACAGGTGCATCCCAAAGGAGAGGCCCTAGGGACCCCTTCCCCAGCTCCAGGCCCCCTCCTAGCAGAACACTCTGCCCTGGACATGGTGGACTCATCCTCTGAGTAGAGCACCTCTGTGGTCCAGGAGTCTGCTCATCCAATCAGGTTGACAGTGAAGATTAATTGGCAATGATCACCCAGTGTATGCCATGGACCTAGCTGCAGGTTCTCCTGCAAAATCAAAACAATTATGAAAGGTAAAGGTTTAGAATCCATCTAGGACATCCAGGCAGCCCTAAGTGCAACTAAAGACACAAGAGGACTTCTAGAACTGCTTCAGAAAGTGGCCAGAAATGTGAGATAAGTGTGGTGAAAGTGAGGGGGAGTCCCTGAAGGAGGTAAATGGCAAGGCTGCTTCTATTGCAATCCATTTTTAAAACTTCAAACACTCACTGTATTTTTTGTCATATCGTATATTCACTCACATCTCAGCTGAGCCCGACCCTGCTCTAACCAGAACTCACTGGACAGCTCCGTCTGGATGGCCCAGTAACACACAGATTCCTCACACCCAAGGTGAATTCATCGGTATACCCCACCTGCCTTCATTTCTCCTCCTGAGTCAGGCGTAGAAGCTGCAAAATTCCATACACGGGTATTGTAAGAAAGGGTACAGCTGTTACTCTGTTAGATCACCTTGTATCCTACTTTACCTTGTGAGCTGTGCCTCCAATGCCAGCATAATGGTTTGAATCCTTTAGTGCTCCTAAAACTTGAAATAAAGTGCTTCAAGTTGTAAAATCACCACAAACACTAAGTTGATGTCTAAGAGACTTTGGAAAACTGTAGATATATGAGTTGAAGAGACTTTGGTAAACGGTGGCAGTGGAGGAGAGGACAGATTATGTCAGATGTGATGATAATCTGTAATCCCTGCACTCTGGGGAGGCTGAGGCAGAAGGATTGCAAATTCAAGTGTAGATTGGGTAGTTTAATGATTATGCAAGACTTTCTCTCAAAATAGAAAAATCAAAAACAGGGCTGGGAATGCAGATTAGTGCAAAGCCCTGGGTTCAATCCCCATTATTGATTTTCTTAAAAAGGCCAGGTGTGGTGACACATGCCTATAATCCCAGCAGGAGGCTGAGGCAGGAAGATCACCACAAATTTGAGGTCAGTCTGGGCTACACAGTGAGTTCACGACCAACCTGAACTGCATAAAACTCTGTCTAAATAAATTTTTTAAAAGTTAAAGGACATATCAAAACACATATTTCTTCAAATAAGAGCTACAAATGACCAATGAGTACATGAAAAGATGATACAGCTGCAAATCACAATCACAGGGAGATACCTGTTCCTGCCCATGACAGTGATTTTTGTCAAAGAGCAAAATAACAAGTACTGGTGAAATGTAGTGAAATTAGGGTTCTTCTACACTGCTGGGAGACAGGTAAAATGTAAGACAAATGTTACAGCTGTGAAAAACAGTTTGGTAGTTTGGTAATCCCTGTTATGTAGGAAGCTGAGGCAGGAAGATGGTGGATTTGAGGCCAGCCTGAGCAATTAAGCAAGACCCCATCTCAGAACAACAAAAGTTTTAAGAAGACCAGGTTACCTACCTTAGCATTTTCTGGGTTCAATTCCCAGTATAAAGCTACAATAAAAAGTTACCGTATGATACAATATACAATCTAATGCTAGCTTCTGGGCAAGGATTTACAAGGTTAAGCACCTGTGCTTGCTGGAGCGGTTGCTGCTACTTGCTAAAGTCCTGCCAAGGTGTTTCCTTTTTCAAATGAGGCCCTTCAGAAAGGACCACACTAACCGGTTTAAATTAGTCAGTCTCCTAGATGATCTCTCAGTTATAATCTCATGATGCTAAATTATTTGCCCTGTGTTTTCCAATTGGCTCTTGTTTGTTTATTTTTTCTTTTGTGAGAAAGGATCTCATTAGGTAGTTCAGGCTGGTCTTGAACTCAGTGGGTAGCCCAGGTTGGCCTCCATCAATCTTCTTGCCTCACCCTCCTGAGTGCTGGGATTAGGGTATGTTCCCCTATGTCTGGTTCCAATTGGCCCCCCCCCCTTTTTTTTCTTTTTCTCTTTTTATCAGTACTGGGGATCGAACTCACGACCACCTGTTTGCAAGGCAGGTGCCGCTGAGTTAAATCCCCAGCCCTCCAATTGGCACTTTAAAACTTGCAATATATGAGCTTGAATTGGGCAAGAACAAGGACATAACTGTCTCTACAGGTGAGGACAAATGTCATTTGTATGTATAAGCATACGTCTCCCCAATAAAATTCTCGTTTCCTTTGTTGGGAAATATTCCCAATGCTCTCTGTACTTACTACAGATAACACTTCCTTTGCTTTTATCTTCTGTCTTATTCTTTCTGCATTCACCAAGGATAGATTGATTGCATTTAATTACACTAACAATCTTATTCCTAGGTACACATTCAAAGGTGAAAACATGTTTATAAAAATCATGTATGTAAATTAGCAGCTCTGTTCATAAGAGTTAAACAAATGGAAACCCAAAGTCTAGCAAATAATGACTGGAGAAATAAAAGGCGAAATAGCCATACACTGGAATACAAGTTGACAACAACCAGGAATGAGATCCTGGTACATTCTATTACAAGGATGAACCCTGAAAACGTTCTGAGTGGAGGAAGCCAGGTACAAAGAAGCACAAATTGCATGATTTTATTGCCAACCTAAGGTTCTTTTGCTCCATTGAGATGGAAATCGTGAATCTGCAAAGCACAGCTCTGCTAGCAGTCCTGATGATTGTGGATAATGCTGGTGCCACAAGTTGACACAGCTGCTGCAGTGCCACTGAGTTGGCTGCTGGTCTCAGGAGCTCTTCAGTGCTGAGTGCTTAGTATTTATCGCACTTTCTTTTGAAAATACCACTCTGTCCACACTATAGGATTTTCGGAGCTCACAGTCCCCAAGACGTAAATCAGCTGGTTTATAGGACCACCAACAGGGCCTGTGCTGCGACAGATGGTCAGTACTGTGCAGAGAGCCCTCTTAGACTAATGGGAAGAAAATTCACGGGAAGCACTTCTGATTGGTTCAGGCTTCCAGGACGGCCTCAGCAGCCGTAACAGTGATCCGGTGGGAAAACAAGAGCTGAAACCATGGAATCTTCTGGAAGGTCAGTTGTAGTGATTGGGGATGTTAACAATGGGCCCAGACCCTTCCCTCCTTGGACTTAATCACAACAGAGTGCCCACCTTCTTCAACTAGTCTGCACAGCCACTGCGGTGGGGGCAGTGGAGGAGGAGCCGTGCGCCTGTGTCGGAGGTAGGTGGGGGAGAATGGCTGATAGACACCAGGGAGGATCCGGAAGCAAACCTTCCCAGACTTTTGGCTGGGAGGGGAAGCAAGCCGGAAATGAGAGACAGCTGCTGGCCAAGCCACGCCCTGTCCAGAAGGGGTGGGGTGGAGCACTTCTCTTATCTCATTAGTGGAGTTTTTGGTTTTGTTTTTGATTGAGAGTGTCTTCCTATGGATTTCAGACTGGCTTTGAACTCATTATATAACCCAGGTTGAACTCCAATTCGCGGTGATCCTCCTGGCTCAGCTTCCCCAGAGTTGAGAATGCGGCGTGTGCCACCATACCCAGCGGCCTCTTTCATTTAGATCTAGCAAATCTGCAGACGTGAAGTAGATGTGATTGTTGAGGGCTGGAAGAGTTGCAGGGTTAGAAATGACTATGAAGGAGTTCAGATTTTGACCTGATGAAACTCTTCTGAAATAGTGCTGATGGTTGTACAATCCTGTGACCACACTAAAAACCATTTGAATTGCACATTTTGTTAGTTATACTTCGAGCTGTTCTTCGTTTAACTGTCACAGCGAGGATTAAGCCCAGGGCCACACACATGGGAGGAAAGGCTCTGCCACTCAATTACGCCAAACCAAAAAGGTGGAGTTTTTTTGTTTTATTTTAAACATCAAGTGGCTTTTTACAAGTATCAAAGCCCCTGACTAATTAGGTCACTCCACTTCCCTTCTTTTTTTAAACGTTCTGAAACACGGAAGTTCAGAAGGTTCACAAATGTGATTCAAAGTTTGAGATTTTGGGTTATGTGAAATTAATTTTTTTTCTTGGCAGTATCACTGAAATTGTCCATTTCTCTAGCACACACATAAAAAAAAAAATCATAGTTTATACGTGTGCATATGACAGTCTCTTACTATATTACCACTATTTCCAGAACAGAGTCTGTGTCTAATTCTGTGTAAAAAAAAAAAACCCACCAAAAACCTGTTTTTTTTTTTTTTTTTTAAACGAAGGGAGGAAAGGAACGCTGTGCAACAAGACTAAAATGCAAAGCAAACGGGAACCCAGCATATGAAGAGATACCCTCTTCAGTCAAGGAAATGCACAAAACGAGACGAATGAATAAGGGAAAATAAAAATAAGGGATGGGGGAAAAGGAAGCCATTTCTTTCCTCCACCCACCCCAGACGGTTTCCGCGGAAAGTTCCAGAAACCACTCAGGAGCGGCTGGTGTCGTCAACGCGCAGCGTAGCGACCACCTCCGAGGCCAGCCGAAGTTCGCTTTCCCGCCTCACAGAGTTCCAGGGATAGGGGCGGGGCCGCGCGAGGGAGCGGGTAACGTCACATCCGGTTAGGGACGCGGCACGGTGTATGGAAGAGTCAGCGAGGGGGCGGAGCCAAGAAAGCGCGCGTTCTGGGACGGGGAGGAGCCAGTTAAGGAGCAGCGCGTCACGTCCGGCGGAGTTAGAGCCCTTGCGGAGGCGGTGGGGAGCGCTTCGGCTCTGAGCTACTGAGCAACCGGAGTGTCCTGCGAGGCTGCGGCGAAGCCTCCGTGAAGAAGGCACGAGAACTTGGCAGCTTCGATTGAAGCCCAGCGAGCGGCGACGTCCTACCAGGAGTCATGAGCGACAGCGGCGAGCAGAATTACGGCGAGCGGGTACGGATGGCTGGGGTAGGGGGCGGCTGTGTGATCCCAACGTTTTGCATCTCCTTCTAGGCCCATCGGCCTCGGGCCGGGAGTCGGGGGCAGATTAGTCTCCGAAGTGTGAAGCCAGGAGCGATGGGAGACCGGGTTCGGGAGCCCCTGTAGAAAGTCTTTTGTACCCGTGAGTGACTCTGCCCGCAGGTTCGCGGGCTCAGCCCCGCGGTCGGCCGTCCTTTCCGTTATAAGGGGGAAAGATTAAAAATGGCCGCTGTGTCCCCTCGGCGTGGGGGAGGGGAGCGGTGTCTGGTTTCGCCGTTGCTCTCCTGCGAAGCCTCGCCGCAGCCATCTTGAGCTGGCGGCCGGGCGCGTCGCCAGCGGCACAAAATGGCGGAGCCGCCGCCCGTCATCGCGGGCCGGGCCGGGCCGGGCCGCGCCTCCCGAGTCTGCACGGGGCGACGGAGGGTTACCCGATGTTCAGGTCCGGGTTGGAAGGAAGTTTTCTCAGTCCCCAGCGGGGACAAAAAGATGCAGGAGTATCGGGGGGCCCTCTTGGGATATGTAGTACACTTGTGGTTCCGTTAGCTGGAGGTGATTACCGGGGGCTTTGTGTTGGTTCTAGTGGAGGGGTTTTAGTGTCGAAAAGGCTTTGCGGACAAAAGTCAGTCTTAGTGTCAGAGTAGATCCCAGGATGGATTGCAGATGATTTCCCGCGGGGTCGCGGAGGAGAAATTGGCGGGCAGCAGTTTCTGGCGCCGTTGCTTCCTTTGTTCGAAGGCGTCCCAATCCCGAGCCGTAACGCGTGATACTACGCCTTGGTTTCCACGCAAAGATGGAGTCTCGGGGTTGATTAAGATGCAAGAGATTGCGGCACTGAGACAGTTCCTATTGGATGGCCCCGAATGAAGGTCCAGAATACAGGGCTCACCTATTTGGGGGTTACGGAAAACGCGTTAAAATAGAGATAGTAGAAATGATTTTTGAAGCTTACGGGAATAAAGTTGGAGAGAACTTGTTGATTGTTGATTCTGGTTTTTTTATATAGTTTTCTGCTTGTGAAGTTTTCCCTAGCTGGTAGGTGTCACCCCAGAGTCTGAATACTATTTATTACCAGGTAATTGCATTCAAACGTCTTGCAGACTTGTATATTAAAAAGATCTTAGGTGGTTCCCTATAAAGGGCTTGTTCAGAAATCATTTTTTTGCTCCTGGTACCTCAGTAAACCTAAAGCCAAATCTGATTAAACCAAATTAAGCCATTCAGATCTTGCTTGTGTATATACAGGCGAATCTTAAGGTTTTTAAGTGTTATCTCCTCCAAGATAATTGACTTTTGTTGTCCCCAATGCTAAGGTAATTTTCTTAAATTCTTGTTTCGTTATGGTAAGAATTTGAGCTTCCAAGTTGATGCCTTTTAAATGTAATGTTGATGCTAGTCGTAGTTGCATATAACCTTAAAATTAAAGTCCTACTAAGGAGGGTTAAATTAAGCATATACGTTACCCAAGAAAAAAAGGAAGTAGGGCCCAGTTTGAAACAACTGAAGAGAAATTGTCACAACACAGAAATTTTCAAAACTGAGCCTACTTATACTAATAAAAAGTAATTTACTATTCATTCACGATCCCGAGTGGACATTTAAGTTGTAAAAGGAGAAAGAAACACTCTTAGTGGTATTTCTCCAGTATAAGAACCTTCTGAAAGATTTTAAAACTTTTACAGTTATGGAGTACACGTGTTGTTTGGTGGCTGTATTTGCTTTCCACTTGTAACGTTTCAACGATTAAAAAAAAAAACAGCTGAAGCTAACACAGTAATACCTGGGAAAACCATAAAGTTCATTGGCGTAGTTTAAAATAATGCAACATAGTTTAAGCCTCAGCACTATACACTTAAGGCAGAATAGTGCTAATTAGGTTGATAGGCTAAACTTGCCTTTCATGATTTCTAAAGACAGGGTGTCACTATGTACTAGTTCTGGCTGGGGGCAGTTTTGCCTCAACTCCAGAATGCTAGGGTCACAGGTGTGCGCCACCACACCCGCTCCTTTTGAAAATGCTTTGTATTGTACAGAGATTTTTTTTTTTAATGTTAAAAGATGGTATTCTTGTATATGACAATAGCTTCTCTGGAGCTTGCAAAAAGGATTTCATTATTTCTAGGCTCATAAACATTGTAAACTGTTAATGTGAAAACGTATACATCTCTCCCTTGTGACCTCATTTGTCAGTTAGCTCAACTCTTGAGTTCCCCCTCCCATTAAGTACAGTGTTTTCTCCTGAGGTTGTATGTACTGATAATCAGTTTGGTCACAAATAGAGTAATGGGTGAATATGGACAGTTATATTGTGTGTTTTTCATCTTTAGTTACCTGCAAAATTTAGTGTTTTTTCTAATTGATTTATAGTAAAGTTGGCTTCCCTAATCTGACGGAACCATGTGCAAAGAAAATCTCATTTCATCTCCAGATTCGTGTCTCTGTATTTTCCAAAAATGATTCACATTTTGTAAAGGAGTTGGCTAACACCTTTTTTTTTTTTTTTTAAGAGACACTCTTAGAAGTCATTTGTCTCAATTCTGAAATGTAAGATTGTGAGAGTTTGTAAATAAGATTAGAGATACGATATTGGGGTAGTAACTCACTCTTTAAAACTCGAAAATTGTCACATTTGGCCTGTGGAGCTTGTGTATTCTCTGCTCTTCCACGTGATATACTCTCTGAGAATATAATTGTTTTGTACAAGTGAACCTACATCAAGAATCCAGAAACTAAGGAAATGCTATTGTATAGGCTAGAGGTTTTTAATTTGTTAAAAGATAATTCAAGAGTACAGTAGCAGTTTAAATAAAGGTTGCACGACCCAGCAGGTTCCCTAATAGAATATTTTGCCTCACGGGCACTTTTTTTTCTTTTTCTTTCTTTATTAGGGTTTTTTTTTTTTTTTTCTTTTTTTGAGACAGGGTTTCAATATGTAGTTCAGGTTGAGCTCAATTTGTAGCCCAGGCTAGCCCCCAACACCGCTGCCCTGCCTCAGCCTCCTGCATGCTGGGATTATAGGTGTGCTCCACCAAGGCTGGCACCTTTGTTCTTTGAAAAGATGGGTAGCTTTTGGAATAGGATCCTATCATATGGCCTTTAAAATTCTGCAGTTTTTCTCCTGTTTAATCTTGGGATTTCTGTAGTTAGGTGGTAACTATAAACTCTGGCTTTTGAAACTGAAGCATTTCTAAAGAATTGTAGCCATCCTACCAAACTTTTAAAAAGAGTCAATTAGAATTTTGAGGAAAATAGTTTGGCTTTGTTTTTGTGCACTATGATTGGCTAGATATGAAAGTATTGAAACCAGGTTGAAGTGTTGAAATGTTTTCCTTTGGTTTAAGAATGCTTTAATATTGTGGTTTGTCTGGAGATAAAAGGTGATTTTTCGAACTGGAATTACAAGGTAAGTATTGCTGGTTTTGTTAAGTTTGAAAAGGAATTCAGATGGCGAGAGATGTATGGAGTTTGCCTTGTTTTTGCATCCCGTTCCCCTTTAAGGGTAAAATCCCAAGACCAAGTGATAAATGTTAATATTGTACATGCTTCGATAATTAAGTTCCTGTTTTGCCCATGACAAGGACAGTATGTGTCTTGATCCTTAGCTTATTTTATTCTGATCCATGTTTATAGAAAAAGTACTGTATTCTTAGGAGATACGTGATTGATGTGTAGGAACTTTCAAGGGATTTTTATCTACCTAGTATTTTGAAGGAAGAATTAAACAAATTAGGTTTTGTCCTCACTTTGTATTTTTAAGCTGCAAGCCAAAAAAAAGTTCTTCACCATAGCAAATCGTAGTCTTCAGCTTTTCAGAATCTTTGCTTTGAATTGGGTTTTGGAGGTTTTCAGGTTAGTTTTAATAAACTATCATGGCAACTTGGATGAAGCCCCTATTGCGTTAAATTTTTTGTCAGGTAAAAACACAGTTCTCAGAAAACATCAAAAAGCATAGTTTTTATTGAAAAGTACTGAATGGTTTGTATGTAAATTTAAGGGTCTGCTGTTTTGCTAGTGATTTCCTAAAAAACAGCTTACAATTCATTTAGGCATGTCAGAAGGCTTTTTTCAGACTGTTCTCAGTCTGAGGATTTTTCTATCCGCCCTTTTTGGTAGAAGATATGAATGCAGAAAATACTCCTTACTGATAGATAGGAACATTGACTTTTCTATAGCAAGGTTGAATTTTTCTTTGCCTATCTCCCATTTATTAAAAGCTACAACTATCAAAACATAATTTGTACATGTTTAATGGTAAATGGACTCCAGTGATGGTCCCTAGAAATATTTTAATAAAAATCTTGTTGACAACAGGAGATTATTTCTAGTAGGGTTTTTTTGTTTTGTTTTAAAGCCAAAACACACAACATTAACTTACTCATTGGTCATCTACTTTTATGAAATGGCTGTTTGAACTTTAGCAGCTGAGTTGAAGTAAGCCTGAATACAACAAGTTGGAAAGGGATAATGAAATATAGCAGGAAGGTGTCTGTGTTGAAACAGTGATATCTAGAGCTTTGGCCTCTATTCCAGTATCTTCTGCATCTATGCCCTATATCTACATAACCTTTAGGAGGCCTAAGGAAACTTTGGGCATTCTGATTCCACGATTACATTTATGCTGCCAGTAAACATTACATTTAGTGACAGATAGGAAAATCAGTTACTGTGACTCTTAAATAAAAAGCAATTTAAAAATTTTCCCCCAAATTAAACAGTTCACTTTACAACTATACTGGAAATTACACTTTTACTTTATTAGAAAGACATCACAACACTTGGCAGTGTAGCCATCTTTATGCTCAGATAGATACAGACTACTGTCTTTTTTTTTTTAAATCTTGAAATTTTTTCTTTTTTGGAAGGAAAATGTAAGAGAGGAAATGATTGGTAAAGTGAAAGATCATATAGAGAGATACAAAATAAAAGGAAAGTTAGAATGTTTTATGAAGGCAGTATTAGTATGTATGTTCAGCAAATTTAAAATTTACTGACCTAAATACTTTAGTAACTTTGAGGTGAGCTATAATTTTCTCTTAATATTGCCACCTTTTAAAAGTGGAATTTCTCTTTTGAGCATCCAGAAAACTGATACTTTTTCTTCATTAAGAGAGAAACTTTACAGCAAAATTCTATGAAAATACCATTGTTGAATTCGTTTGCTCTGCTTTCCTTGGTAGCTACTGCCATAAAGTAGTTGACTTGTTTTACTTCTAAATTTAGTCATTGGGCATTCATGTTACAAAATTTCCTTAGAGCAAGTTTCCTGGGGGTGGATTGAACTCTACAGTTCCAAATACACAGTATAAAACTTGTGACATTAAAGAACGTTTCTCATGTCGTACATTGGGAAGTCACAATATTGTAGACCTCTGACCCTGAGCCTTTGTCATCATTGTACAAATGAATTGTCCATGCTTTCCTTTCTTGCACTTTTGTATTAATGTGTCACTTTTTGACTACAGATGTGCTTTGACACTTAACAATTTCTATTGAATACATTAAGTGTGAAATGTAAATAGTTCTTAAAATGTTAAATGAACAGTAAATGTTCAGTGGGCACTTCACTTTCAATTTAAGCATGATAAATTAGAGTAGATAAATGAAATTGATTAGAGCCAACAGGAACTATGTAGTTTTGGTTTTTTGAGCTGCATATTTTAGGGTTTTTTTTTTTTTTTAATCCAAACGACAAAAGGGATTTTTTTTTCTAGTTTCAGCACTGGATTTTATCCTGGAGTTTTAAAATATTCTTCATCCTGTTCTTTTTCTATTAAGGTTAATGTTGAAGAAGGAAAATGCGGAAGTCGTCATATGACAAGTTTTATAAATGAGTATTTGAAGCTCAGGAATAAGTGAAGCTGAAATTTGAAAAAATAAAAGAAAGAATGCATGCTAATTATCAGACCAGAAGTCCCACTTATAGAATATTGAGCAATTTGTGTGAAGTGGGGAAGATGAAAGAAGTCAGAATTTGAAACGGAAGAATGAAGAAAAGAAATAAAAATGAAGTTAAGATAAGAAGTAATCTGGAATCAGAAAGCACTACGCTAAGTAATTACTAGTCTGTTTATGTGTCCCTGTATATTTTGCTAAACATGCATGCATTATTTGTTTAATAGAAGAAAATATATACAGGGTAAAGAAGTGCCTTCCGAGGGAAACGTTTAAATTAGGTAATTCTAATTTTAACTGCTTAGTCCAATGATTGAAAATGCATATCTTTAAAAGTAATCCTTTGTAGTCAAATAACAGGCATAGTGAGCTCTCCATCATGGGTAACAGTTGGCTTCCTGTTTACCCGTAGGTCTTTCATCTAAAACTTTGGTGATTCTGGGGCATAAGTACCTCCAGAATTGGAACTGACGGTCTCTGTACCACTCTCCTTGGACTCTCAAAATGCACTGATCTTTTTCCTTCACTGAATAATGTATAGTTAGAGTGTTTCCCCATTAGAATTTTTCAGGTTAACAGGATGATTATACACCCAAACCCCCAAAATCCAAGCAAAGCATTTTAAGTTTCTTTTGGAATTAAAAGCATTGTGTATACCCCCCACCCTCACCCCTGCCCATGGTGTAGTAGTAGAAAACTGGGCATTTAGGTATAGGCCCTCTAACATTTAGATGCATATATGCCACACATTCTGTTTAATTCTTATTCTAGCTATTTTTCTGCTGAAATGTTAGCTTTAGAAGAGGGATCATATAAGTGAATAAACAGTATAGTTGATTCAGGATGTAATAGTAATAGGTGCTTTATTCCTTTTTCTGCTAACAGTGGTTAGCTCTCATAATGATGTTAAAGATACATAGATTATAAACCAGCCTTTTTGTGATTAATCAGTCCTGCTTGCTGAAAAAATTAGTGCCCCAAAGTTGGCTTTTCCTGTTTAACTTTAGCTAAATAGAATAATAACTTATTTGTGTAGCATTACTTAAAACTGAGATGGGATTACATGCATAGCAAAATAATAGCCAGTATTAGGCACCAGAAAAATTGCCTTCTGCTCTAATTGAGAATGCCATGAGTATTATCTTACCCATTTCTTCCTAAAGTAAAGACGCCTTAAAAAAAACTTGAGACAGTTGTCAAGTCTTAAACCTGATGAAGAGAGAATGATCCTTTTTTGAAGGATCCCTTAAGTTTTATGGCTACAGTGTGAAGCTTTGTAAGAGAACAAAATTGTCTTGCCATACACAAATAACATGAATAATGTTTTGTGTTGCATTACTCAAGCTATGAATTATTTGGTTCCAAAAGGAGAAAGAATGTTTAGTCCCCTAAGGTAAAGAAAGTAATTGTGAGCCAGTAATATGGCCCAAGCTGTAAGCTTAAGCTGAATATGTTGATGCTAGTAGGCTATCTCCTGCATTTTCTTTTTCTCTGGCCAAATCAAATCATCTTTGAGCCTTGAGAGAGGGTCTGGGAGGGAGATAAGGGGAGGACAGGCCTTTGATCCTGACACCCGCAGGGCAAGGCAGGGCAAGGAAGACTGAATCTTCTGGAGGACTTGGTAAATTTACCAAGTTCTGGAGGACTTGGTAAATGAAAGGAAAGTGCTTTTGCCAAGGTGAAAGATATTTGGTAGTAATCACATATGACTTCAGAAATTGAGTCAGTGACTTAACTAGCATCATACACATGCACTTTGCTTTTAAAAAATGGCAAACACCCAACTTTAGATTTACTAATGAGTTTTTTTTTTTTTTTTTTTGTTCGTCCTTTTTATTTTTTAATGTGGTGCTGGGGCTCAAACCCAGGGTCTTATATATGGAAAGCAAGAACTCTACCACTGAGCCATATCCCCAGCCCCTAGAGTCCTATTTAGGGCTCTGTATCTTAAAAGGCTTGTAGACGTTTAGTATATACCATATAAGTTTAGTATATTGCTGTTTTAAATTTACATAATGCATCTAGTTTTTAAAGTAAATGAGTTGGATGGTTATTTCTACTTTTATCTCATTCAAGTAAGTTATTGGATTATTGCTGTTCTCTAAAATTTGGAGGTGTTAAGATAGCATGTTGGAAGGCAGTTTGGTTTTTTAACCTGATGTATTTCTTATAGATTGTATATTAATGACTTAAGATCCAGTCAGTAAAATTTGATTCCCTGAGTACTTTCCAGCTAATTTTTGGCTTTTATTTGTGCTAACTTTAAGTTCTTTTGAGACTTTGGTGTCCAGAGCGGTTTTTCTTTTTCTTTTTTTGGATGGGAGTCTGTTATGTTGACACCTATAACTTGTCAGCCCTAAGTAGAATTTGAAATATCCCTATAGAGGCTTTTCCAACTGGTTTTTTTCCTTCCCAACTAGTTTTATAGTTTATCCAGGTATTACAGTTTAAATATTATACTTTGGATTCAGCTAATCATTCTGGGTCTTGTTATAACTAAATTCTTTGCATATTTTCCCAACCAGCAAATATTACTGTAACTGGCTTCTTTAGGAAAATAACCCTGATAGGGATGAAGGTTGGAGGAGGTGTTCAGATGTTAGCCTAACTATAGGAGTATACACAAGGAAAATTTGCATTCTACTGTTTTATTCTAAGATTATTTAGATTATTTTAATCTAAGAAATGATTGCTCACAAATCCATCTGCAAACCCTGCTAGAGTTGGAGGCTAAGTTGAACACTTATGATTTTACAAATATTAAAACCTCATTACTATTTCATCCTTCCAGGACAGGAATCCTATCTTTCCTCCTAATGGACAGATTAGTGAAGCATCTCAGCTTGCGATACAGCTTTCTGTTAAATAAAATAGGAGTCTTTAAAAGGGAGTCTTAACTGCTCATTCTTTATAGTCTCAAATTCTATGCTTATTTCTGACAAAACAAATTTATTTTTTCACTTCTGTGAGAAACTGGTAGTCTGTTTTCCTTCCTGAGCAAATTCTTGTTTCCATTAGAGTTTATAATTGTTCTATGAAGCAAGCTTTCCAGTATTAAAAGAGTGGGCTTTTGAGTTCTTCATTTCTGTCTTTTCTAGATAAGCTTTTGCCATTTTAAAACATGAAGCCTTTATTCAAGGAGAGAAGAGGTGCATTTTGTTACTAAGCATCTTGTATTTGGGAGCATTTAGTAGATTCAAGGGCTTATTAGTTGGACCCAACACCCCCACCCCCACCCCCTACTCCCTGTGCAGTATTTTGTCTTTTTACCATTTCTTGGCATTAAAGACCCTAATGGATACTAAAAATGGGTATCTTTTTCATTTTTTTTTCAGTTCACTCACTGGGAGAGAAGAGTTGAGAGCAGGTCATTTTTCATGTTACTTACCCACATGTTTTGTAGAGACTTGAAAGCATTATTTTGAAATTTTCTAGTTGTTTGGGGCTTGAAACCTGAACTTGTTTTCTTGGCTGTGACTTTTTTATTTCCTGATTCATACATCAAACTGTGGCAGGTCTGTTGTGCTTGTATATACATCTTTCTCCTAAGCATTCCATAAAACAAGTCTAGACTCTTAGGATGCTTTAGGCCACAATTTAATCCTTTACCTTTTATCCTTTTAAGAATTGCCAGCGTATTCTGAAGAAGTATTAGAGGAGCTCTCTAAACTTTTATTTGAAAATTTTGGCTTTGATTGCTCATTCAGTGACAGTATAGTCACCTCCTTTTTTTAGGCTTGGTGAAAGCTTGCTTAGCTGTCAGACTGCTGGAGTGAGTACTGTCTTTATTTACCTTTTGGTACGACTAGCTAGAGATTTTTCCTGATTCTGTTAATTACACTTTGTGATCCTTTTCTGCTAGTTGACTATGTTCCTTCAGCTCATACTCTGTTTAGCTACTCCTTTGCTGGTGGTTTCTTTTCAGGATTTTTTTTTTTCTTGGTGCCACTTTTCTACCTGCCAATAGCAGTTTTGATTGGGAAAGCTATGAGTTCATAGTATTTATCTAATCTTTGATCTTTACACACATTCTGAGCTCCTCTTCAGGGCCCTAGATTAGGAGCTCCTGACTTAATTTATTCTGGTTTTTAATTTGACCTTATGTAAGATTTCTGGTTTACTTGTTCTCCGTTTCTCAAAAATCATTGGTCATCTCCATGTAGTTGAGGGAAGCTATGGCTCTTTGGCAACGTCTCTGCTCTTAACCTCTACATAGTTTACAGGCTTTTTGCTATAGGTTCATCTGATTGCTTTGAATTTCTTAAAGCTTGCTGTCTCTATGATGACAAGTTTTGCAGGATATAGTGTCTAGCTCTTGCTAGACACTTTCTATTTTTAGGACTTGAAACTAAGGTCATTGTGGTTGTCTTTTATCTCAATATATAACAATTTGAAAAATTGAAGTCTTAAATCGAAAGTATTTAAGGTTTACAGATTTTGTAGGATTTTGTTCTATCAGTTGCAGCTTGATTGAAATAGTTACGAAGTACAGGTTTCAAACAAAGTTAATAAGACTGCTTTTCACCCTAGTCTTTATGGAGTGAGTTCCTTAAGCACTTGATTTGGCAACCCTTTCTTAAGGGAGTGTGGGGTCAGGTAATTCTTACCCTGCTCCAGAAAGGTGGAAGAAAGAACAAGCTAAGTGACTTGAATGCCATTTGGAGCAGTGAAACTACTACTCCAGATACACTCAATTCCTATCCTTTTACCTGTATTTTCTTACCTTTGGAAGAAGATTGCTGTCCCTCACCATTTATCTCACAGCAGCTTATTTGTTTTTTTTTTTAAGTTGCCCAGAAAAGTATACAAATTAAACTTTTGACATCTACGTGTAGGAATCCCGTTCTGCTTCCAGAAGTGGAAGTGCTCACGGATCGGGGAAATCTGCAAGGCATACCCCTGCAAGGTCTCGCTCCAAGGAAGATTCCAGACGTTCCAGATCCAAGTCCAGGTCCAGATCTGAATCTAGGTAAGAAGGCCTGCCTTGAGATTTTCTTCTGTTGTTTGCTCTTAGCTCTGAGAGTGGCCAGTGCTTTGAAAACTAGGAAAATAGAGCTAGATCATTTGTTTGCTTATTTAATACTGGTACTAGAAATAAATTTGAATTTCAATTGTGGAAGAGATGATGTAAGTTATTAAAGAGCCTTGACTTTGGGAGTTGGAATTCAAATTTTACCTTTATTTTTCTGTCTTGGGCAAATTCAGCTTTTCAAAGCCTATAGTTATACTTTTTATAGCTTCTTATCTATAAAAGGCCAATTAGTAATAGCACCATTTATCTAGAATAGTAAGGATTCGCTGAAAATAGTAGATTGCATGTCAATATGAAATATGTACTACAGAATATTGACTTTTAGCAACTATGATTCTGTAGTCCGTTGTGTTACATACGTGTATTAAGCAACATCACAGTGTACTTTTTTTTTTAAAAAACGTTGAAGAAAGGCTATGCATCTTGGTTTGCATGGGACATTTCCCCAGTTTATGCCTGTTTTCTGGCATAATTACAGTAGTACCTCTATGTCAGATGGTTTAGATGACAGCTTTATATAGTCACTATAGCCGAGAACCATGCATTGATTTAAAAAAATAAACTGAGGCAACCATTTGGGATTTGTGTTAATGAATGGTGGGCATTATGGGAGAAACTAAACGCAGGGTGATACTCTTCTGAAAGGGGGGAAGGGCATAAATAAGTAAATCTGTGATTTGACTTTTGAAAGATTTTCATATTAATTTGAAGAAATGTAGGAGTTTGTGGTCTTTAACAATATTGAAATGATTGTGGAGAGAAAAGACAGTGGCCCCATTCAATAATCGTGTTGGCATATACCTGGTTTGTATCCCTGTTTGGGAATTAAACACTAGAGTAGAGTAATAAGAATTCGAATCCATGTGTATTTCAGTTGGTTTTAACCTTGAAGCTTTTGTCTCACAGGTCTAGATCCAGAAGAAGTTCTCGAAGGCATTACACAAGGTCGCGGTCTCGATCTCGCTCTCATAGACGTTCCCGTAGCAGATCGTACAGTCGAGACTATCGCAGACGTCACAGCCATAGCCATTCTCCCATGTCTACTCGAAGGCGTCATGTTGGAAATCGGGTAAGATAGGAAAAACTATGAAGCAATAGAATGCCTAATTAAGTATTTTCAGGCTGACCCTAAGTAATTTATTTTAAACCCTCTTCTTTGCTATTGGGAATTGAACTGAGGTCCTCTGCAGTAACCTGTATCCTTGCCCTTTTTTAATATTATTTTGAGATAGTCTTGCCTAAATACTCAGGCTAGACTGTTAAAGTAGTGCATCAGTGTGTTTAGCTTTATACCTTCTAGATTTTTTATAAATTTTATAGGATGCTTTTCTAACTTTCCCGTTCAATGTTAATATATTTCAGACATTAAAACTTACTTTGTAAGTTAGCAGTAAGATGGTACAATACTTAATGTGTTTATATTGGGGTTTCATTACAGAATCCAAGCGATTTTATGGGAGAATTTTCATTGTGGAAACTAGAATGTTACTGATACGGGTGTTTGTTTTTTGTTTCTAGTGTAAGCTCTACTTAATATGTGTTACTAAAAGATATAGGTGGTACACATCATATTGGGTTATTTATGTGCATGTAAGAACACTTGGCTGTCTACAGCACCCCTATTTTAACAGTAATTTGAGAAATTTAGGGTCCAAGTTCATTAAATAGAAAGTTTCAGAATACAAATTTATTAATTTTACTTAATTTCACTCAATTCCTAGTAGCATGATGACACCATGGGCCATTCTAGGAAAGACATGAATCCCCATTTTGTCTAGCTAATTACACACCATGTGTGACCATGTATGTTGCCTACCCACTGGTTTCTTGGTAACTATGGACCACATTCACATAATTTCTGATGTTAATTTTACTGTGCTTAATTTGTGGGTTAAATTTTATCAGTACTATGATTATTTCACGTGTCTGATGCAGCAAAAATGCTACATAAATTGTTGTGTATATTATACTCAGGAAATAATGGCAAGAAGTCTCTCTGTTCAGTGCAGATGGGATTCTTCCAAATATTTTCCATCTGAGGTTAGTTGACTCCTTCCATGCAGAGCTCAGATATAAAACTCATTTTCCTCTGTCATCGTATAGTGGCATTTCTCTTCTGTCCCCAGTTAAAAGAAGTCCCTCCAATTGCTCAGTGTATTTTAAATACTATCTTTTTCATTATTTATGTAACATTTACATTGGAGTAGGTGTTTTAAGTAATGTAGTAAATATTTCCTTTTATTGTTAACTTTATGGTGCTAAAAATTGAACCTTGTGACCATGTGTACTGTAATTTTCCCCTATAGTAATGAAGCATCCCAGAAGATACATATGAGTTTGTAAAGCAACCACAGGTTTTAGTATCTACAAAAGGTCCTAGAACCAATCTCTCATGAGTACAGAAGGAATACAGTAGAATTTTTTTCTAGCTAGTAGAACTGTCCTGATTATTTTTATTTGTGCTTATAGTGAGTGTGGATTTTCAGATTAATTCAATAGAATGTGGGGACCAGGGATATATAGAGTTTGCAGTACTTAGTATGTTTTGTATTGTCATGGTCTATAATCACGTATTTTTATTGTAAGTAAAAGTTTGAAATATTTTCTATTTCTAGGCAAATCCTGATCCAAACTGTTGCCTTGGAGTGTTTGGATTGAGCTTGTACACCACAGAAAGAGATTTAAGAGAAGTGTTCTCTAAATATGGCCCAATTGCCGATGTGTCTATTGTATATGACCAGCAGTCTAGGCGTTCAAGAGGATTTGCCTTTGTATATTTTGAAAATGTAGATGATGCCAAGGAAGTAAGTAAAAGTTTATTATGGTTTTTATGGTATAAGTAGGATATGTAACTATTTGAATTAAAAGAAGTAGAGGTTTTTGGAAACAGGTACTGAATTAATTACTTATGTTATGAGAAGCTTTTCTCCCAGTATTTTATTGTAGGAGAATTTTAATCCATGCTGAATAACAAAAAAGTATGACTTAAGGCAGTTATTCACTTTTTCTCAATGGCTGTTGGACTGTTGTAGCTAGCTATATACCAGTTTAGTTCTTAACATTTTGAAATAAATGAAAATATACAGCGTTCTTTTTCTGAACCAACAAACTGTTTTGGCAAGACTAAAACGAGCAGAATTTGATACAGGATACCTAGTCAATGGAGTTATTTTCTAGAATGGAAAATAACCAAAAATGATAATGTTATGACTCAGGAGAAAAACTGAACTAGTTCTTAAAAAGTATATATTGACCAAAGGGGGCGTTTAACTCTTGGGATTTTGATTGGGTTTGGAGCATCGGGTGTGAAGATTTATTGTGTGTATCGATGGTTTGTTTTAGAAATTCGGATGCCCAGTATTTATACTTTAGGCTTTAAAGGGAAATGGCAGCTGGTGTCATCTTCAAGGGAAAGTAATAAAGAGGGTAAAAGCACAAAATGCTAGATTCAACTAATTATTATTTATGACTTGGAACTTTGAGAGTTTTGAAAGAGACTTTAATGACTGGTTTCTAAAAGGGCAAATGTATCTGAATCTTCAGGGCCAGAAACTGAAACAAGCACTAGCTTAGAGCATTTCTAAAGATTAAAAACTAACATTGTATTTGGAAATGCAAATTCTGTGCAGGTTAAAAAAATCCAATTCCCACTCCTACCTCATTCCACCCCCATTCGTTCAACTGAATAGTAAATAAATCTGAAGACTTAGGAACAGGAGTCATTGTATTATGGATAAAAGAATTGTATGTGATTAAGGCTTCTCAGTGTTTTCATTCCAACTTTCGGCTTCCAGAGCAGGACTCCACTATAAATACAGCAGACTTTTTACTTCTGCCTTTCCTATAACAAGGTAGCCATAAAGGAAACGAGCTAGTTGAATAATCAGTACTTTTTATGGAATTCTCACTTGGTGTTATAGTTACTCATTCTTTATGGGTTATTGGAAAATAGTCTGCTGACCATTTTGGCTTGCAGATTATTTTGCTGGGAATTGCTTTTGACCCAGAAATATTGTCAGATTCAAGTATATCATGGGTCAGTGGCATTTTGGATAAACTTGTTTTTATGACTTTCACAAATACTTAGAACTAACACATTTATAATTTGTAAATAAACCTTTTGTTTTGACCAACATTAAAATAATAACAACCAAAACATCCAGTTAACTAGTACAGAACTAGTGACATAATCTCTCAAGAATGGGCTGTATGGTAACTGTGTTTTTTATCTTTCAAAGGCTAAAGAGCGTGCCAATGGAATGGAACTTGATGGGCGTAGGATCAGAGTTGATTTCTCTATAACAAAAAGACCACATACCCCAACACCAGGAATTTACATGGGGAGACCTACCTAGTAAGTTTATTTTCGGTATTAAAAATTTACAGTTTAATTTGTGTACTCCAAGAAATACTCTTAACCATTTCTTTTTGTCAAACTGGTTAAACCTATTCAACAGAAAATACACAATTAAAACGTCTGTTACAACCAAGTAGAAAAGATTTTGGTTGTTGTACTGGAATGGGAACGAGAATAAGTCCCCAGCTTACAAACATTTGAGTTGCAAACGAATTGCAGAAGTAGCTCACATGTCTGCTAGACTTTGTCACAGTTATGCTGCTGTGTGCTTACAGTACTGTAGCACTGTGCTTAGTGAGAGCCCAGTGTATTCAGAAACGAGGTAAACCCTTCCATTGTGTAAGACTCAACTTTGTTGAACTGAGAAACAAATCTGACTTAGTATTGTTCTGCTAGAGAAGTTAGGGACTTAGTGTAGTTATAATACATGCAGTAATTGCCATGTTATGAAAAAAGGGACCCTTAGCCCTCAACTAAAACTGTTCTCTGGGTGAAGTTTTTAAATTTTTCTTTCCTTTTGGAAATAGGTAAGATTAGTGAATTGCTTGAATTTTTATTCTAATTTTGAGTCGCGATCTTACTAAATCACTCAGGCTGGTCATGAACATCCTCCATCCTCAGCCTCCCAAATAACCTGGGCTATAGACTTGATTGACTTTTTTATTACAAAGTCAGGATCTATACACCTCGTTAGCCAAAATATTTAATGTGTTTACCTGTATTATAACAAGGGAGAAGACAATAATACTTGTTCAGTACTAGAATTACAGTAGAAATAGTACTCATTTCCATTTTAGTCTGGAAGAATAAAAGAAGCGGTATACTAGATGATCCAAATGAACCTTGCAACATACTGTATTTGAACCAATATCCAGAAAGATAGGAAAGACTACTTGAATTTAAAAGATACTATTATTTGTAGTGGCAGTTCACGCCGTCGTGACTATTATGACAGAGGATATGACCGTGGCTATGATGATCGGGACTACTACAGCAGATCATATAGGTAAGTTATGTAGAAGGGTGAACTCTTTTAGACTAGGACTGTACTCAACCTTTGGCCTTTTAAAGAAAATTTTTTTTGTTGAAGTATATATCTCATGACAGAATTCCCGCTTAATATGTCTGAGGAACTCCTCAATAGTATACCTTCTGGAGAGGGTGCCAGGGATTAAATTTATGGCCTTGTACCACTAAGTAAGCACTGTTACTGAGCTACATTCTCAGCCCCTACACTTAGTTTTTCATAATAGGATATAGGAACTAAAGTTGAAACCAATTTTAAGGTTTATATCTTTATAGATTTCTGTACAGTAATTATCTTGAAATATAAACAAATATTAATAATCTGATATGTTGACAAGAAAGTTAACATTTACTTTTTCAACATTAAGTGTAAACCAGGCTGTGAATTTCTCAAAAGACATTTAGTATAACAATGATAAGTTTGTTTTTTAAAAACTGGATATTTAGTGAAATTTGATAGGGAAATTAAAGATTGAAGAAATGTGACTGTTGTCCCATGTGTCACTTATCTTTGAGTTACTGTATAAAATAGCACTGATTATGGAGGCTAATAAGATTAAAAGTCTAATTCACTCAAGCATTTATTTAGAAATGTGTTATGTATGCTGGCGCTGCTCAGTTCAGCCACCAGGGAGAGCTCTATGCTATTTTTCTAATGGTTGACAGAATGACTTCTGTCATTTAAGAAATTGAGTCTTTCCTGTTCATTGTGGGAATTTAAACACAGCTAAATTTTACTTTTCTGTCTTTGCAGAGGAGGTGGTGGAGGAGGTGGTGGATGGAGAGCTGCTCAAGACAGGGATCAGATTTACAGGTATTGCCAGAAGATTTTAAATTTAGGCAAATAAGTAGAATGTGTCACAAACATGTTGCCCTACTAATATTTTGGTAGTTTAAAGTTTCTTCAGATAAAATTCGATTTCTTGAAACTCAAAAATACTCTTGACTGAAGGCAGTGAAACTGAATGGATTTACAGTATTTACAGGAATTAATTTGGCCTATAGTAGATTACTTCATTGTATCATTTTATAAGTTTTGATTAAGATAGGAGAAAGTTGGGGCCGGGGATTTAGCTCAGTGGCATAAGCGCCTGCTTGGCAAGCATGATGTTGTGAGTTCAATCCCCCCCCCACCCCACCCCACCCCCCAAAAAAAAAAAGCTAGGAGAAAGTTAAATTCATGAATCATGGGAACTTTGTCTTAATAGTGACCTTTGTAGGGCCGGGGCTTTAGCTCAGCTGCGTAAGTGCCTATTTGACAAACGTGAAGTTTTAAAAGGTTTATTACAGGCCCTTGTAGTTTGGGGAACTGATAAAGAGTTGATTTAGCCTTTAGGTCATTTAGTTTGTGCTCTTGAGGCTATCTTGACTATTGTTTTCTCTGATCAGATTTTATTTTGGTACATTTTATATATTTATTTATTTTTACTAAAGACTCAGTGCTCCAATGGTACATTTTAGATATACATTATATCAGTTTTTTGGTTTGTTTTTTGTTTTTAATACAGAAGACGGTCACCTTCTCCTTATTACAGTCGTGGAGGATACAGGTCACGCTCTAGATCTCGATCCTATTCACCTCGTAAGTTCTTACTCTTATGATTTTGTGTATTTCCTATAATATTAGGGCTTTCTTGGTTATAACAGATTTCTTAGAATAATAGGGTGATTCAGATCTCTTAATCTAATTTTTCTGCAGTCTTAATTTTAGACACTGAGTCCATAGCTATTACAAATAGTATATTCTCTCACCATGTGTTTTTTAGGCATCTTGCAGATTTTGAACAACTTCAAAATTATTCAGGTGATTAAAATGTTATCTCTGAGATTGAGTTAAACTTTCAGCTATATTTAGTACATAACATTGGTTACATCATCCCTAGTGTTAACATTTCTGTCAGTGTCTTCTTACTGGGAGGACTTTAGCTTATTGTAATTTGTCTTAATGGTAGGATAGTTACGTAGTTGAAATACTTATTTATTGGCATTAAAACATTCTTGTTTTTTCTTGGCCAGGTCGCTATTAAAGCATGAAGATGAAGACTTTTCAAACCTGCCATAGAGCTGGGATATTGTTTGTGGACAATATTTTTATTGTCTGTTTAAAAAGTGAACAGTGCCTAGTGAAGTTAGGTGACTTTTACACCTTTTATGATGACTACTTTTGGTGGAGTTGAAATGCTGTTTTCATTCTGCATTTGTGTAGTTCGGTGCTTTGTTCAAAGTTAAGTGTTTTCAGAAAAGTATGTTTTGCATGTATTTTTTTACAGTCTAAATTTTGACTGCTGAGAAGTTTCTATTGTACAAAACTTCATTTAAAAGGTTTTTCTACTGAATCCAGGGTAAGCTGAAGATCGAAGCCTGTGTGTAAAATGCTACCAAATGGCAAAAAGCAACAATAAACAGTTTGATTTTTATTTTTCTTTCTAACATTTATGCTTAGCAGAACTATTCAGATTTAAGTTACCAGTAAATTCAAAGGCAAGAATACCAGTTTTCCTCCAGTCCATGAAACATACCATATTTAATATACCTGCAACTAAGTGTTAAACATATGCTCTGTAACTCTGTACTGCTAGTATTAGAACTAAGTTTTTCAATACAGCAAATGCTTAATGCTTATATAAATGTGGATTTGTCAGCCTTTATGTAATCTGTATTATGTATAGCAAGGAATAAGAAGAGTTACACATTGTATATGCCTTAGGGCTCTATCTTAAAGCTGTTAAAAGGGGATAATGGTGTTTCAACTAGTTACTCAGCAAATGACAGTACATTCCACCACAAATGTACTCTTGTCCGTTTAGCTTTTAAACCATTAAAAAAAAAATGGGTGCTTCCAAGTACAGGATAAGAGAAGGGAACACTATATCTGTGTCATGGATGATCTGAAGACTGCCTGTTCATTTTTTAAATATTATTTTCAGGTCCTTTGCTTATCAAAGGAGGCCCAGTTTCACTCAAATGTTTTGAGAACTGTGTTAAATAAATGAAAACGAAGAGAAAAACTGCTGGTGCAACTCGGTTCACAAAGAAGTGTTGCTTTTCTACCACTTACTACTTCAAATTAGTCTTTCTATAGCTTAGTCCCTGGAAAGAGTGTATTTCTTGGGTTGAATTGTATGCAAGAAAGATAAACTTTATATTCATCAAAAGTTCATAGAGATTAAGTAAATAAATGGGATGACATCTCTTGGGATAGTCTAGCTGCCACGTGTATCTGAGAATGGCTGAAAACAAGTTAGGGTCAGTTCTTTGCAGTTAGGTTATTTTCAGGTCAACTCAAGATGTCAGGTGCATGATTGTGGTTTGGAATTCTGTCTTTTTTGGGAGGAGAAGTGATCCGGTTTGATCCCAGGGCTTGCCTTGCATTTACTGCTGAGCTCTACCTCCAGCCTCACAACCTTTTAGTTGTGATGGCATTCTGCCTCTAAATTGGTTAGACTGTATTTTTTAGACCTTCATTTGTAATAATAAGTGTCATGTTCTTAAAAATGCCTGGCTGGGATTGTTGATATCTGTTTACTTTTCATAGAATTCTGATCCTGCAGTTTGAAATTTAAATGATCTTGTGTCTGGATTTTTTTAGATTCATTCTCATTCGGCTTTAGAAGAAGTAGCCACTCAAATATTCTAATGTGAGTTTTAGAATTGGGTCCACAGGGCTTGTGTTGTAAAGTAATATAGAGGGAAGATAAAAAGCCAGGTGTGGTGATGCACTTCTGTAATGACAGTATTCAGGAGGCTGAGGTGGGAGGATCGTTGCAAGTTCAAGGCCACCTTGGGCTAAAAGCGAGTCCAAGGCCAGCCTTTAACTGTGTAGCAAGACCCTATCTCAAAAAGACCAAAACAATAATAATAAAGATAAGAAAAAAACTTCAGCTTGTGATAATACACATATATTTTATGAAGGAAAATATAGATCTCAGAAGATCCATCCTTCAGTGCATCAGAATGAGTGGTGGAGTAAGACCACAAAAACATGGCCCAGCTTTCTGAATGGCCCAGGATCCAGAGCACTTTGGGGAGTCACTTTGTAATTAATAAATTCCATTAAGCTAGTCTGTTTCAGTAACTTAGGTCCTATTTGGGCTGTCTATATTTCGAGATGGGTTTTACATGTTTTCGCTTTTGGTATTCTGCCAGTTGGAGAGTTCATAGTTAAGATTCAGTAAGTAAGGGGCTGGGGATTTAGCTCAGCAGCATAAGCGCCTGCCTTGCAAGTACATGGTCAGGAGTTGGATCCCCAGTACCAATAAAACAAAAACAAAAAAAATTAGAAGATTCAGTAAGTAAGGCATGGTGCACATCAGTAATCACAGCTGCTCAGGCAACTGAGATAGGATCTGAGGTTCAAAGACACCCTTGGCCACATGGCAAAGACCCATCTCAAAATACTTGGTTTCACTTAATTTTCACATGTGCAATATAACACCTGTATTTTCTATTCTGGGCTCAGATTCAGCTCAGGTCAGTCTTTGTAAAGCTAGTGTTTTGTTTTCTTTTGTTTTGTCTTTTTCGTTTTTATCGGTACTGTGGATTGAACTCAAGACTGCCTGCTTACAAGGCAGGCGCTTATGCCGCTGAGCTAAATCCCCAGCCCCTAAAGCTAGTGTTTTTAACCAGTGTTTACATTCCTGTCTTTATTGCACTCAATAGACACCACAACCAACCCCCATTAGGGTAGAGCTTAAAAGCTTGTGAGACCTCCATCTGACAGTGTTTTAAATCTCCAGTGTATAAGTCCCAGTCTTAAGTAGTTGTCTACTCCAGGCATTTTAGAGTGAATTGTAAGATTTCTACAAAAAGGAAGATTGCAAGTTGAGGTTAAACAGGAAATGATCTGAACCTTTTTTACCCAAAACACGAAAGTGTGCAATTGTCTTGGATTTGCTATGGAAATAATGGTTAGGTGAAGTCACTTCAAAAACTGCCAAAGGAGATTAATAAGCCTTTATCAATGCTATATTTTGTGTTAAGCTTTGCTGTGTATTGCTGGAGCAGAACAGATGATAAGATCTGTCAGTATTCTTTTTTTTTTTTTTTGTCTTTTTCGTTTTTATCGGTACCAGGGATCAAACTCACGACTGACTGCTTGCAAGGCAGGTGCTTATGCCGCTGAGCTAAATCCCCAGCCCCTGTATTATTAATATATATGTACACGCCTGATACAAACTGCCAGTGTAGCCAAAATAGTCCACTTTTGTGAGTTCCTCTACTCAGTGTGATAGAATAAAGAGAAAGGCTCATAAAGATAACATGTGATTTAGTCACTAAATCTGGCACCAAAGTTTAAGTGACACGGAAAGTTTTTTTACTTTCATTCAGGACATTGAGGGACATGGCAGTGCAACTAAAGACACTAGTCAAAGAGGACTTTTGATCAGAAAGTGTCGGAAAAGGGATAGTTGTTAAATGCAGGGTCGGCCGGAGGGCTGTTTGAGGAAGATTAATGACCTGTGTCTTAATATTTTAAATGAAATCCAAGTACCAGGTTAGTGGTCAGGTGATAAATTCTAGGAAGCCAGTGGAAACAGGCAAGTGTATGTAACTGTGTGGTGTGTTAATTTGTGAGGTGGAGCTAACAAGGATAAAGTTGCACTGGGGTCTGCCTTGGTTGTGTGTTAACCCCTTCAAAACAGTTATATTACATAATGCATAGTGATTCATAGGAAAGGCCAGAAACTTAAAAGATCACATTTGATCCTAGCTTTGCCAAAGCACTGTAGCTAGTTTGGGTTTTTTTTTACCAGGGATCTAATTCAGAACCTTGCACCTGCCAGCCAGGTGCTTTACGGAGTCAGATCCTCAGCCTTTTACTAGTTTTATAAAGAGCGAATCATACCCAGAAATACTGGATACTGCCTTATAATTAAAGTTACACTAACAAGATGATATTGTGATTTAAAGTCAGAATGGGAGCTTCAAGGAATTATTACATTGTATTGAAATTCACCTCTACAGTAGGTTTGTTGGAACCTGACAACCTAGAGTTGTAGTTCCCCAAATGTACACAGCATGGCACATACAGTCTCGGGATAAAAATCAAGTAGCCATGTAAGATTCTTTACCCTCCTGTTAAAAGCACAATCCACATCTGACTGAAAATGGTGTACACTCAGTTTTGAAATTTTACCTTTTCCACAGCTACAACAGCACACCTCAACAGCAAGTGATTACACAGGCAAAACTGCAGCATGCTGGGTTGGTGAGCTACGAAGATGTTCAGTGACCTGCATGAAGTGCATTTTTGACTGGTATTTTCCAGTGGAATTACCAGGTTATAACTTAAGTCTAAGAGCATCTGTTGTGTATTAAAACATCACCTCTCCAGAGTCAGATCAGGTAAATGGAATGCGTTTCCTTTGCATTCCTTTCACCAGTTTGGGTAACAAAGGTGTTAAGTCAGGTTATTTGACTAGCACTATTTTTCTTAAACGTCAGAAGCAGTATGTATTTTTTTTTTAGGATAATGGTTCACCTTTCCATTTTGCCCCAATAGTTCTCACATTGGCAAACTATAGCTGTCAACCAGTTCTGCCTGTTTTATTGTGCACCTGTTCAGTTCATGTTGTATACAACTTTCACACTAAATTCATTGTCGGTTTTGTCAGGGACCACATAGTTCACAAAACCAAAATCATTTGCTATTTTGGAGAAAGGTCTACTAGGTCTAAATGACTTTTAACCTGAATCACTGGCTCTATCTTACTAGGTGTTTATGTTGACATTTTGTTGAGAGTGGTTGAATTACCCACTTTGTTGATCCTGAACCGTACTATTTAATCTGGGTCTGATTTAGGTAAGCTGCATAACAAGATACATCTCATTGCAACCTGACAGTGTCATCTCATTGTCTTGGTCTGAGAGTGTGCCTGAATTCATGGATAATGTGTAGTCATCAGTGTGGTCAAAGACTGGAGTTGTGAAAAGGGCTACAGTGAAAGGCCTCAGTAGATTTTCTACCTAACCTGATGAGAAAGTTGCAGCTTCCCTGGAGCGCAATTAAGATAGGATTGGCCATTTAGAGCTATTTGGCATATACAAATTGACATGTATATGTCGGTATACATTGATTGTACACATCTTTCTACGTTAGGATCACTATTACTGTGCACATTCTCAATCACTCAACCTTGTATATAAGCTTGTAATGTGTAATTCTCAGATAAAAGCCCTGACAAGGACAAGGCAAGGCATGTACAGTTGAGTAGTACAGCTTGGATTAGGGCTTTAGAGCCTGGTATTTGTGACAGTCCAGAGAATCAGCTTCCTATTGTGTTGATGTCTGCTCACCTAGCTTAGTTGACAACAGTTGGGCTAGCTTGCAGTTAAAGTGACCAACCCTGTTCAATGTTAAATATGGTTGGTTGAAAAATGCACCATAGGTAGTGTTCTGAGTCGCCATTGTGAAGGGGCCATTAGTTTTTTTTTTCCTCATTGAAAACATTCTAGACCTGGTATTTCATGAGGCCTGTGCATACCTTTACCATGCAACTTGGTGTCTGTCATCAGAAGTCTCCAGAGAAAACCAATGGATAGGAACACAAGATATTTTACACTCATGCTCATAGTGTGAACATTTTCCTGCTTTGAAAATACCTTGGAAAAAGAATTTATGTCTAAAGTATTTAGAAGTTGTCAGGTGGGTAGTGGTGCATACCTGTAGTCCTCACTGCTTTGGGACACCAAGGCAGTAGGATGAGTTGAGCCTGTTCCTAAAATGGAATTAAATGAGTCATGATGAGGTGTGTGAATATTTCAGGCTTCTGAATACACGATGATTGTATATGTGAGTAATGATTTCCCAGAACGATGACTTACCTTTCCACTAGGAAATGATGAAGTGCCTGAATCTTTAAGCATCTTTAGTTGCTTTCCTTGCTGGAACAAAATAACCAATTTAAAGAAAGGTGTTTGGCCAATTTATAGAAGTTTCAGTCTTTTGCTCTAAGGCTATGGTCGAAGAGCTTGGGTGAAAACTTGCTCGCTTTGACATTCACTAAACAATCAAAGGAGG